CTTTTCCGGAAATTCAAGGGCCAGTGTAGACAGCTCGCAGATTATTCCAGAAAAGCGGCTGATTTTCCGGAATAAGTGTCCCCGTGTAGATACAGCCCAAGTGTACCTGAGTGGAAGAGGCTGCTCCTGCACCCTCCCTGGTCACTTCTGCAGGGTTCTCCCTGGGTTCTGTGTGTGTGGGGGGGGGTTGTCTCATGTAGCAGCTGGGTCTCCTGGTGACCCAGCAGTGGCTTCCCCCCTTGGGCTCCACTAGGCCCATGTGGCACCAGTCTTCTGGACCTTCACTTCCCCCTATCAGGGTCACTGACTATAGCAGCTCCGAAGCTCTGGGTAGAGGTCCTTTCCCAATGCTGGTCATCCCAGACTGAGCTGCTCTGTTGCCTTTTATGCTGCCCCAGCACTTGGAGCATGCCCGGTCTGTATGAAAGAGTGGGACTTCCTCAGCCCACAGAGTTTTTATCCCTCCTGTTCTAGTGTGGGGTATGCACACCCCGTCACACACACTTTTAGATACTTGAAAATCGCTATGATGTCCCCTCTCAGTCTTTTCTAAATTAAACAAGCCCAATTTTTTCAGTCTTCCCTCATAGGTCATGCTTTCTAGACCTTTAGTCATTTTTGTTGCTCTTCTCTGGACCTTCTCCAATTTCTTCACATCTTTCTTGAAATGTGGTGCCCAGATCTGGACACAATACTCCAGTTGAAGCCTAATCAACACAGAGTAGAACGGAAGAATGACTTCCTGCATCTTGCTCACAGCACTCCTGTTAATGCATCCCGGAATCATGTTTGTTGTTTGTGGTTTATTTGAAGCAGTGTCACACTGTTGACTCATGTTTAACTTGTGGTCCACTAGGATCCCTTAATCCATGGGTTCCCAAACTGGGGGATCTGACCCCCTGGGGGGGGGGGCATAAAGAAATTCCAGGGGGGGGGGGATGAGGGGCCCACCCCAAGTTTTGCTGCTATTTTTTTGGGAGGGGGGCATGAGGGTTTCTCAAAAATAAAAAAGGGGGCTTGATGCCGAAAAGTTTGGGAACCACTGCAGCAGTACCCCTTCCTAGACAATCATTTCCCATTCTGTATGCATGAAACTGATTGTTCCTTCCTAAGATGATGACTTTGTATTTGTCCTTATTAAACTTCATCCTGTTTACCTCAGACCATTTGTCTAGTTTGTCCAGATCATTTTGAATTTTGACCATATCCTCCAAAGCACTTGCAAACACGCTCCCAGCTTGATATCATCTGCAAACATAAAAATCGTACTCTCTGTGCCATTATCTACATAATTGATGAAGATATTGAACAGAACTGGTCCCAAAACAGACCCTTGAGGAAACTCACTTGTTATGCCCTTCCAGCATGATTGTGAACTGTTAATAATTACTCTCTGAGAATGGTTATCATGTCTGTTACACACCCACCTTATAGTAGCCCCACTTAGTTTTTCTTTCCCCAGTTTATTGATAAGAAGGTAATGTGAGACCGTGTCAAATGCCTTGCTAAAGTCTAGGTATACAGTATCCACCACTTCTCCCTTATCAACAAGGCTTCATATCCTATCAAAGAAAGCTATTAGATTGGTTTGACATGATTTGTTCTTTACAAATCCATGCTGGCTGTTACCTATCACCTTAACATTTTCCAGATGTTTGCAGATAAATGTCTTAATTACTTGCTCCATTATCTTCGCTGGCATAGAAGTTAAAATGACTGGTCTGTAGTTTCCTGGGTTGTTGTTATTTCTCTTTTTATAGATGGGCATTATATTTGCCCTTTTCCAGTCTGCTGGTATTTTTCCCAGCTTCCATGATTTTTCAAAGATGATCGCTAAAGGTTCAGATACTGCCTTTATCAACCCCTTGAGCATTCCAGGAAGAGGAGGAGGATGGGAATCCACAGAACTAGTGAAACTACTAATGTACCTAGCTTGACTCATTTGCACTTTTGTTTTGATTTCTTAACACACGCTGTTTTATTATTTTTTTATGTTTTGATGCCATGTGCTTTGATGTTCACGTGTCCACATTGTAATTTGTTATTTATATGAATGTTTAAAATAAAATGTTCAATTTGTCTGAGTGGATTTTATTACGTTAGCAGATTTTATTAAATTTTATTAAACTGGAACTTCATCTCAGTAACTCCTGAGCTGTGTATTGAGGTACATGAACAGTTTCTAGATAATGAATAACAAAAGTTATAATATTTAATAACTATAATGCAGAAACTTCACATTTAAATACATGCATAGTATTTTATAAATTGTATAATAAAGTTGCATAAAATAATCTTTGCAATCTGCCCCAACTATAGAAATTGTGTGAGGGAGGAAGGGAGGACAATTACAAATATTATGTCATTCCCCCTCATCTGTGGCACCAAGCAAACCAATTAACTGGGAACACAAAGCACCTCTGATTTCTGGTAGGTATGTGGACCCAGTCCAAGCAGCAGAGGTACTTTTATGAGTTGTGTCTGTAATTGCAGAAATCTCACGTCTTGGGTCAACATCCGGAGAAATGGCTCACCCCTGATTTCACAGACTTTTTGCAGAGCACTGCAGGCCACAATAATGCAGATGGCATTAAAAACACTGGCATCCAAACAGTTTGAAGGCAATGCTGTCTGGATTTCAATCTGCTAAACATACATTCCACCACCATCCTTCAGCTTCTCAGCATGTAATGGAAATTTTTATTGGCAAGGCTTCTGAAATCAGGATACAATTTCATAAGCCACAGCAAAAGAGTGTACCTGGGGCCCATAAAATAACAGTGGAGCTAGTGGTTCCATTTATAATATAATTTGGTGGAAACAATGTATCAACTTATCCCTGAAAGTAAAATCTTGATCTTCAGCAAACGTTGCCAATATATCCCATGCTAGAATCCATGAATCTGTCTCCGAGGTTTCCCCTGGCCCACATAATGATGAAGTAGTAGTTGGGATACTCATGTGTTCCTTCTGGAGTAAAAACTATGGGCACATGGATCCTAAGGTGTGACTACACAGCACCCTAAGCTCGAAATATGATATGCAATTTGTACTAGCTTATTTTGAAATTTGGCACACTTACACAGCCCAAACTTTGATACAACATGCTATTTCAAGCCATCCCTTATCATTCGTGCAATGAGGTTTTCTGGGATGGCGAAATAGCATACCTGTTCTTTTGCAAATTTTTTTTAAATAAAGGGCGGCTTGTGTAGACTTGGGGTAGCTATTTCGGGATACCTCTGTGCAGTATAGATGTATTCCTCATGATAGTCCTACCACTGTTTGGGAAGCCCTTTCAGTAATTATTGCTGGAACATTAGTAATGCCCACTACCTTATTGCTGGAACTGTAGTAATGCCCACTATTGCTACCACCACAGTCTCCAGAACAGACTTGCCAACACCAAGATGGTGTCTGGGATTGGCAGCTTACAGATGGCTATAAGTGACCCACTTCTGGACCATAATGGCTTCCTTCATGCAAGTGTTCTGGAGATGGACTATCATGTCAAGCTGATCATACAGTTCCAGAAATGTCTGCTTTTCAGTTCTGGAGTCATAGTTGTTTATCCCAAGTCTACATGATGATGTAATCCCACCAGTTCATGCTTCTGGGCCTACTCCAGAAGCATTAGTCTACCTATAGGAAATTTGTGTTTATGGCAGTGGACATGAGAAGCATCATTTGGGTTGTGGTTGCTGTCAGTACCCTCTTTGAAATATGTCTTTGAAAGGACATATGCCACTGCCAAAATAGTCACCATACTCTCAACAATGCTCTGCTTGATTTCTGAAGTAAGAGTGAAAACACAAGCAAGGGAAGTTGTTCCACTGGTATTGGATTCACTTTGCTGACTCCAAGTCCAGGGAGTATGCAGTCCTAAAAAGGGATCCACTGGATGTGTTCGGGACTAAGAGTACTTCTTGTCATGTGCTGCAGAATGGACAGACAAGTTCTACCATAATACCTAATGAAACAAACTCTATAGCTAGCAAGAACACTAAGACCCATGAGATACATCCCAAGAACCAACATCTGACTTGCTATTGGCACAAAGCTCACACAGAAATTCAGTGTGGACTCAAGTATAAGATTAGAGTGAATGGATGTGCAGGCACAGGGCCCACAGACCAGAATTTACTATGCAGTGGACATATACCCATCATTACCTGGAGCTAGTCTAGTTATTTTGTTTTATTTTGGAAAAAACATCATCATTAATCATCATTACTTGCATAATAGTAAAGATGCTTGGTCAGTTAACATAAAATCCAAACTTATAGCTATATAAGAATCTTCTAGTACCGACTGATGACTGAAAAATGGCAAATCCAAAGAGTTTTGAGAATATGTGTATTTTTCAGTTCACTTCGCTGTGAATTTCCAAAGAGCTACACCTTACAACTAACTGGAAACTAAGCCAGAGCAGTACTTGACCACTTGTTTATTAATGGGAGATATCTTTCTATTAGTATATACAGCATACTAACACTTTCGCAATTGTGAAGGCTACATGAGCTGGAGCTCCACTGGTATAAAAATGAAGACTGCTGGAGAGGACTTCATGATTTGTAAACTAGCTCCTTCCTCCCTGGATCCATAACAGATTTAATTTTGTACCCTACAGGGCATGCTGCCAAGCTAATTTGTTTTCCCTAATTGTGAGGGAATAGGTGAAATATGTTCTATGCTGCTTGTAAAGGGAGGGGGGGTGGAGGACACCCACCCCCTCCCTAGTCCCGAACGCTTTGTGGGGTAGGGCTTGCCTGCATTCACTCCACGGAGGGGCTCCCCGCTACCTCTTTCCCCTTTACTCTCGGCCAATAGGGCGTAGTAAGGTTCCCTTATGCCAGGGTCACCCCCGTTATGGCTGGAACCCACCTACTTAGACCCTGGGGCGTTCCACCTGCCCGGTCCCCGCGGTCCACCCAGTCCAGCTCCCTCTGGTCTGGGGGACCCACCTCCGGCAGGTTCCCCACCCTGGGGTCCCATGTCACCTGTTGGCTCCTCGGCAGTTGGGGTGGGGCCAGCTCAGGTGCGAGTTCTACCCAGCCGTCCTCGGTTCGCTCCTCTGGGCGTTGGAAGGTCGTCCGGACGCTCCTGGGCCCATCTGCTGCGGACACCCCCAGCGGGGTTCGTCGGCAGCCCCCGAGACCTCCGCGCCCCCTCCTCAACGTCTCCTGCCCAGGCCTTCCGCCGGCGGCCGCTGTCTTCCGCCCGCGGGTCGGTTTCCCCCTCAAGTGTGCCGGCGCTGCATTCAAAAGCGGACACCGGCTTCCTGCGCATGCGCGGCAATACAGCCGGCGCTCCTCCGGCTTTCCGCTTGCGGTGAGAGCTGCCGGCGCTAGTGACGGGGCCGGCCCGTCACACTGCTAGTTATTTAGAGTTTTTGAGGGTATATTGATTCAAATTGGAAGGAAGGTTATGAGAATAGTCTGCCATATAGCTGTGTAAATTCAGTATCCAGAGCACAGGAGAAGCATTCCCTTTTCAATGGATGAGTGTATAAATCTTAATAAATTTATAATTTCACACAATGAAAAATTTTGACATAAGATATTTAGCATTAAATTCTCATGAACAATGAGGCCCCTTTACATCATAATGGCAATGTAAAGAAGCCTTAATGTGGATTTAAATGTAATTTGCTGCCATTTTAAGACCTATTTTCACCACCATAAAAGGACGTTAGTATAAATAAGACACAGTCCCAGAGGTTTCTAATATATGTGTTTTCTTTTGACTTACAGTAAATTTTTCAATAGTTTATATTTTATAATACACAGCTGACTTTAATTTAGAATAGTGGATTTTGTGCAACCCCCTTTCTTCCACTCTAAGTGAAGCTAAGTGTTAGATACTTGAGTATTGGATAAATCCCTAGAGTTTCTGGGTTCTTTTTCATATAAGTACACAAAGGGCTACATATTACTTTGCAGTAGTCTACACTAGTTACAAATCTGGAGGAGATGTTTTTTGCTGACAGGAGAGCGCTCTCACATCTACATAATAAAATCACCTCAGCAAGAGACAATAGCTATGTTCACGGGAGAACTCCTTCCAACATAGCACTGACCATACTGATGCATAGGCTGATGTAAATTAGGTCTCTTCGGGGGTGGCTTATTCACACCCCTGAGTGAGGTAAGTTTTATTGACATAACCTGTAGTGCAGACAAGCCTTTAGAGTTTCATAGGCCAAGTGATCTCTTTTTGTATCAGTCACATCTATTCTAAACTGCAACATCTAAAGGAAGATAAAATAAAATAGGAAATGTTTGACCTGTAGCATTTTATTCTCTGGCAGACATTTTTTATTCACCACAGTGCAGTCATGAAATCCGGAATCCCTTGAGGCTGCCACATGAAAGGTTGAGGTCCTAAGATTTCAAGTCAAGTGTTGAAGATTTGAGGGCTCAAAGTTTTGAAGTTTGGATTAGTGTCCCTTGTAAAAATATTCTTTTGCACTTATGTAACTCTTCCTATGCAATATTTCAATTTACTTAACAAGCCTTAATGAATAAGTTTCACAACATCGACAAATGTACTCCTCCATTTTGCAAATGTGGATATGCAGACAGAGGAAAAAGTGAGTATTAAAGTACTCAGATTGACTCTACATTCCTTAAATTGGCTTTGTGACATCTAAGGAAGTGTGAATATACAAATACAGAAATGGGTAATATATTTGATATTTAAAAACAGGACATATAACACAAATATAATGGGGTAGAACCTGAGCTTGTGAACACTAGAAGCACTCCATTGGCTACAACAGAACTTTGCTCATTTGCACCAAATGATGATCTGCTACCGCAAATGAATCCACCTATCACTGAAAAATCAGTCTGATTCTTTCTCTGTGTTGTTGTACAAAATGGTATTGTTCATAGCTTCAGTACACAATAAAAAAACATATTGCACACTGGTAGGCCTTCAAGTGTCAGGGAAGGGGAGAGTGAAATTCTGGACACTTACTCTTCATTTCTCACTTGCTGTGTCTAGACTGCATCCCTTTCCTGTAAAAGGGATGCAAATTAGCAACATCGCAATTGCAAATGAAGCAGGGATTTAAATCCTCCCAGCTTCATTTGCATAAATATGGGTGCCGCTTTTTTCCGGCTCGGAGCTTTGTCGGAAAAAAGGGCCAGTCTTGACGCGGATCTTTTGGAAAATAAAGCCTTTTCCAAAAGATTCCCTTATTCCTCTTAAAATAAGGAATAAGGGATCATTTGGAAAAGGCTTTATTTTCCTAAAGATCCGTGTCTAGACTAGCGCTTTTTTCCGGCAAAGCTCCGAGCCAGAAAAAAGCGGCAGCTATGTTTATGCAAATGAAGCTGGGGGGATTTAAATTCCCACTTCATTTGCAATTGCGATGTGTCTAATTTGCATCCCTTTTACGGAAAAGGGATGCAGTCTAGACACAGCCACTGGGTCTGGTATCATTGTATTGAAATGTGATTACATTTTTGCTTAAGATTTAATAGTTTGAGATTATTTTGCCACATTCCAAAAGTTATATCATTTTGAATAAATCACTGTTACAATTACTGTATGCCAGTTAGCAAGTACTGATCTAAAAAATTTGATAATTTTAGAAAGGCAAAAAATAAGCATCTTCCAGCTAGAGAATTTTTTTCCACATCAGGACATTCTCCAAACATAGTTTCTCACTGGATGCAGCTTTATGTTCCATAGGCTGCAAACCCAGCCTATATATTTCGTTCAATTTTTGTGTCTTCAAATTTTGGTCATGGCCCCCTGCACCTTCCCCTCAACCACCATCCCAAACCTCTTTCTTTCTCATATGCTACTTCTAATTACCTTTCATCTCTGGCACTCCCTCTTTGGCACACATCGTGGCTCTGCTTCTAGTCCCTGCAATACATTTTAATCAGATACTTTTGTACCCAGTTGTATTCTTGTCTGAAACTATCCAAAGTACTGTTGTTGCTAGGGAAACCACTTCTTTGTTATCTCTACGTTCAGCACGTCTGCCTCGTTCTCTCTCCCTCTCTTTTTTTTATTTGGCTCTGAGATGCAACTTGATGTCATTGCATTAGCAGCAGTGAACCATTTAACCAAAGTGCAAACACTAATTTGAAACAGAAACAGTAGCCACAACTACATCTTTTGCCATTTATATTAAGAATGTCTGAGTATGGGATAATGACATAAAGTAGCCCATTATATAATAAGTGACAGTCACTTCCCCAATCCTGATCCCAATCATGCGGATGAACTTATTTTATAGGACCGAATGGGAGAGAAAAGTGAGGGGTGTGAGTGTATAAATATTTTTTCAGATGTAAAACCTTCCTGATCACTTGTTCTTCTCTTCAGAACAAAGTACTGTCCATGTTTGTCTCTCTATAATATTGTTTACCTCCTTCAGAGAAAGAAAACCCCTGAGCCATTTGACCATGGAATTGATTTTTAACACTTACAGTCTACTAATGCTTAAATTATACAGCTGATAAGCAGAACATAAGAGCCTGCATTTAGGGTTACACTCTCCAGGCCATGATCACCATGTATGAGATCCTCTTCCTTGGTGTGTTAACAATGAAGACATCTCTTCTATTGGAAATGCATCCCCGGCTTATATATCTTTGAAGACAAAACATGTAGAGGACTCACTGTTAATTGGGCAGAGTGGGGGGGAGCAGATATGACCAGGAAGGCAAGAAAGTTGTTTTATATTTTTTAAATACAAGTAAAAGCACATTAATGACCAAAAGTGGACGAAATTAGTCCGGCTTTCATATAGCTCTCAGATTTTTTTCTTTGTTAGATTCAAGCATTGCATGCAATATACCCAGCTCATTATCATGGTGGCACTGTCCCTCTGTTGTGCTTTGTCAATTATGGCAATTTTAGGTCTTGTTAGCTTTTACTATATTCATTCACCTCCTTTCCCCCACCCCTGCCTCTTGAGCACACGTGCATATGGTCAGACATATTCTCATATGGCCATTTTATACAAGAAATTAAGAATGAAAAAAACCCAACATTCAAGAGTAAAAAGAGAGTAACCAATACTAGTATAGTCCTTACTGAATTTTCATTTTTCCCAAGTGGGCATCCTTTCCATTAGCATTGAGTGTAGGGAGCCTGCTGATTCTGTTGCAGTTGCCCTATTGACTTTCTCTGGATGAATAAGTCCCTGTCAAGAGTAGTACTAAATAGCCACTTTAGAGAGCACTTTTACCCATAAAGAGCACATTTTTTCTTTCCTCCTTAAAGTCAGAGCCAAGCACTGAAAAGCAGAGCAACAAGGCAATCTGCGGAGACAGATATAATTATAAGTAAATACCTTGTAGGTGTTAATTACTAATGTTCTTTTACCTGTGCTTTGAGTAGTGATTCAAAAATGCTTCTAAATAGAATCCCGTGGGCAGTAGTATACCTGCTACGACTGTTTCTCATCAATACCTGTAACAATAAACCAAATACTTTTTCTGTGTTATATTTCACATATTAATATAGGAGCCAAATAAGGTCTAAAGATAGTACTAGTAAACATTTCCCAGTTTCAAGAAAGCTAAAACAGTGACCCAGAATTGAAATAATTTCAACGTATTTGTATTTACTCTTGGTCAAGGTCTGAGAAAAGGAGGGAACCTATATGAAAATTAACTGAAAATGTTCAAATACAATAAATCACAACACAATTAATCACCCAAAAATGACTGGAAATGAACCAAGAATTACCTCACCAGTATTCGGCATTGGTGCCATAGGATGAAGGTGGGAAGCAAAAAATCCCTGCAGAGACAAGACAGCAGAAGAGTAAGTGAAATATAAAAGTGGAAGCATCAGTGCAGACATACACTGGTGGAAAAAGTGATTTTTTATTTGTCAGCTAGCAGAGAGAAACCTAGTTCCTTGGACTAATTAGTTTTCTTGCAACTCTCACTGATATGAGTGAGAACTGAGGTTCCATATCAAATGTATGATACAATAGATGTCAAGAGCTAATAATTCTTCATCCATAGCCACAAATCCACAAGCAGTTATTTGTGAGATTTGAGGGGTTTTTTTTGTTTTTGGGGGGCTTGGTTTTGTTTTTGTTTTTTAGACATATTTGTCACAAGATACATTTCCATTCCCTGACTGGTCAGATGTTACTTATAGAATAAGGTGCAGAGTGGAAAAATGAAGTAGGTGTAGGAGTAGCGTTGACAGAAGTTCTCTGGGAATAAAAACAGGAAGGCTACGTCTACACTGATGGCTTCTTGCACAAGAACTCTTTTGCGGAAGAGTTCTTGTGCAAAAAGTCTTCCACAAGAGCACGTCCACACTGCCATGTGCTTTTGAGCAAGAGATGTGCTTTTGTGCAAGAGCATCCATGGCAGTGTGGATACTTTTTTGCGCAAGAAAGCTCTGATGGCCATTTTAACCATAGGGGCTTCTTGCATAAGAAATTCATGTTGCCTGTGTACACTGCCCTCTTGTGGAAGAGCTCTTGCCTCGTGTGGAGAGGAATAACTCTGCCGGAAGAAGCCCTGTTTTACAACGCTATACTGTAAATTTACTTGCGCAAGAATTCTCGTGCAGTGTAGACAACAGGCAAGTTTTTGCTCAAGAACGGCTGTTCTTACGCAAGAAGCTGCCAGTTAGACATACCCGAAATGTTTTCCTGTTTATACAATACTTAGAACTATATTCAATTGTGTAGTTGTTTGTCACTGTACTGTGGCCCAGCCACTATAGTCTGATGAAATAGTAGAAGTCTGGTAAATTACACTGCATATTTTCAACTTTGTATAGTATGCTGCTAGTGGTCATGACCCACTATAATGATTGGTTCTAATGACTGTACTTCTAGTGAATAGGTCTCCTAAGATCAAGTAATACAGTCCTGCATTTTTGGCACTGCATGTAGATGGTGAGATCAACCAGTGGACAAATATGGTTTTTCTATGAGTCTGTGGCTTTGGATCATTACATATGTATTAGTTAATATGTTATTTGGGATAGAGGAGAATGTTTTTGCAACTCTGATATGGAGATTTATTGCAAACACAGGATAGATCATTTAAACATGTTTTCCTCTTCTTCACTTAAGAGGTTTATTTGAATTCACAAGCAGCTGTTTTAAGGAACAAACTGAAGAAAAACATGTTTGAGCTATTTGGGCTAGAGCACCACAAAATCTGACCTGACTCTGGCCTGCAAGAATTTAGTTCACAGCCAAAATCAAGAAAAAACACCAGGTACCTTATTTTCTTAATGATGGAATCCTCATATGCTAACTGGCCTATTTCAGACTGAACTAGTGATGTCTTCTAGTGCTTTACACTTGTTAGTAGTGCTTAGAAACTGGTTGCTGATCTAGAGATCCTTTAAGCTATTCCTTGTTTTTCTGTTTTTCACTCACTAGTATTAGTAGTACATTTGGGGATAAAACAGTATTTGAGATTCATATATTTTAAAATGTGATATAAAATTTGACAGTAAGTCTGAGTGTTGTCATAGGACTGGGCATATTATTGGAAGAGTCTTGTTTTAAAGAGATTGCAAATTATAAGAATAAAATCAGGGCTATACTGGGTCAGACTGGTTCATGTAGCCCTGTATCCTGACTTCTGACTGTGGCCAATACCTGGTGCCCCAGAGGGAATGAACAGGACAACCAATCATCAAGGCCTGGTCTACACTACAGGAGAAGGTCAAATTAAGATACACAACTATCTTAAATCAAGTTTCCGCACCACCCACACATCAGGAGGTTGACAGGAGCAAATCCTAATTAAATCCTAACTAAATCCACTTAAGCTAACCTGGGAAGATTGACAGCAGCAGCTGCTATCTTCCACATAGTGTAGACATGGCTAAAATGATCCATCCCCTGTTGCCCATACCCAGCTTGTGGTAAGCAGAGCTAAGGACACCATCCCTTCTCATCCTGGCTAATAGCCATTGATAATGGTACACAATGAACCTATCTAGATTTTTGTTGAACTCTGTTATAGTCTTGGCCTTCACACCACATCATCCTCCAACAAGTTCCATGTGTTGACTGTGTGTTGTAACTACAGTAGTAACTAGTAGACAGCTGTTATGTTTTGATGGAAGGAGAGGAAAGCTACAGTACACCATAAATAATTCTCATTTAATGACCTTAAACTTCAGGGTCAAATATTGTACAAGTTTTATTGTGAATTTCCTGACCACAATTGATTCCATATTTTATTTTTTCCAAGGAAAAAAGTGTTCTAATTTTTTTTTTATTTTAAAAAACAGAAGAGTGTTAACCTTCCAGGGATACTGTAAGACTTATCTGTTCTCCAAGGCTTTATTTGTGGAATGAGTTGATCATGCTTTTCTAAGATTGTAGTATGTGGATAGTATTTTTATTGTGGATGGGGATTATTAAGTGGGGTAAAGGAAGTTAGCACTAATTGGGTTGTACTACGGAGTCCTTTTATGGATATTAAATGAAAATAGAAATAACCTCGAGGATAGACATTTATTACATGGAAAGAAATACATTAAATATATATATCTGGAGTCTGTAAACTGTGTCTGCAATAATTAATATTTCAGAAGCCTGTGCAAGTAAATTGGAGTTAAGGAGCCATAACTGTAGCTAAGAATTCGAAATGTCTGATCCAATGCGATACAAGGTCAGAGGTAGAATTAACTTCTCCCATCCAGATAAAAGTCTCAGTGGATGTTTGAGAATTACTTAACTATAATAAAAATTTGACTAGCTCCCAAAAGGGAAGCTGGAAGTCCTGTTTACCTCAAATGACTGATAACATTTCTCAGGTTCAAGATTTAGTTCAACTTCTTCTATAACATCAGTACATAAAGTGTTCTGTGCTCCTAGTTCCTGCAAATGGTTGAAATAAAGTCACTGAAGCTCAGTAATCAGGTACATAATAATATAATTCACTACGTGTGTATTACATGACTAAACACACATCACTAATTAAATTCCAAAAGTCTCATACGAATATATACTCTCCTCACTTCAAAACCAAGGGACGATTCTATGGGGAAAATGTCTTTGGTTGCTTCATAATCCTGCTTCAAAACTGTTTACCAGTACTTTGCATTTAGCTGGACAACCAGATTGGTGACAGACTTTGTCAGGTTCTAGGGCTTGACTCTGTGCCCCCCCCAAAATGGATAGGGCCTTGGGCAGACGGGGCTGAGGTAGGACATGTTGCACCTCCCCCAGCAAGCCCTCAGCTCTGCCTGAACAGTGCCACAAAGGGCTTTTATGGCAATTAAAAGAGCCTGGGACTCTGGCTAGTGCTATTGTCACAGCAGAGGTTTCAGCAGCAAGTGACCTGAAGCCTCAGGCCCTTTTTTTTAAATGACCAGGCTCTGGGGAAATGGCCTTCTTTGCCCCTCCACCACCTTCCCCATCAGTGGTCCTGTTACAAAGTCTATCTACTGTGGACACGATGGCAATAACAACAATGCACTGATTTAAGAGGGCCTTTCCCTGTTATAAAAATGTGCATTATGAAAAGAACATAATGAGTTGCTTTAAGACAAAATGTTTCATTGCTTTAGTCAGAAAAAAAATATTCCGGAGTTTTGAAAAAATAATTAAAATGGCAAAATATATAGCTAAATAGCATTAAAATATAATGCACACGGTTTAGTAGCAGTTGAACAGATCTGTGTTTGTGACAAAAGCCCAACTCTAATCTCCATGGTGAGTAACTAAAAGCAATGTTTTTTACACTTACCTGCGACTCCTTCAATTTATATAGATTGTTAAGATCTTACAAAGAGTAGGGTCCAGCACACCTCAATCTAAAAATTTGTGGTTGTAGCAACTTGGTCTGAGTATATAGTGAACAAATAACTTTAAAATGCTGAAGTGCATGCTTAAGCAGACCTGTTCATACATTGTATAAGAAACAGAGATTACATTAACCATGTGAATTTGTTTATCACCAAGTTCTCTGTCATTCAGTATAGTAAATGTCGCTGCAGTATTAGAAAGGATATGGGAAAATGACTTACTTCTTAAATAAATGTGGTTGGTTTGCTCACATCAAAGTCTTCTGTTAAATATATTGCACATTGATATACATACCAATATGTTTCTGACATCTCTAAGCTCTGTTGCAGACACCTATTTGATGTTTCTGTGTCTCAAAAGATCCCTGACTGACTATTCTTAGGACATGGGTAATCATGTTGGAAAGAGGATGAATGGATTGAGTCTAAAACAGCACAGCCTGGACAAACCGACAGTTCCTCAAGGATAAATATAAATACTACTTAACAACATAAGTTTCCTTTTTATCTACTTGCAGTTACTTTGAGCAAAAGTCACCAAGTCCCTAGAGCTATAAAAACTTAGATAAAAGGAAACAGTTTCACAATATAAACTCAGTGACTGCTACAACACACGATCCACAATAATTTTTCAGAGAACAAACAGATATACACATCATCCATCCTTTGAGACTCCAGTCCTCCCAGCCTAGAAAAGTTGAAAGTTGTATAGTGATGTGCTTGTCAGACAAATAATAAATAATATGGTCTTGATGTGAGGAGAGGAGGAAGGTGGGGTAAAGGGA